TAAAACGTTCTTGATTCTTTAACATATTTGTTTTAAGCTGATACGACAACGTTTATATCAATTAAAACTCTTTACAAAAAATCTTCTAATTTGTTTTAATCGATTGTTTCAGTGATTCAATCGATTGAAATACTTGCAAAACTTTATTGTGAGTTTTTCCAAGTGATTTTAAGCTGATAAAAATAAGTTTTAATCGATTAAAATGCTTGTGTAGAAATTTTCTAAGTTGTTTTAATCGATTGAAACGTGTTTTAATTGATTGAAAAAGCTACGATCGGTCATAACTCAATTCGATCGATCATATCTTATTCTGATCGGTCATAATTGCATTCTGATCGATCATCCTGAACTCTAAGTGGTTTTAATCGATTAAAACCAAGTTGTATCGATTAAAATACTGCAAAAACACTTCTCTTAACATTTTAAGTGTTTTTAATCGGTTATTTCGAAGCTTTATCAGTTAAAACAACGACGGAAGGTTTTCAAAACTTTCTTTAATGAAAACAACCGGTTATTTCGAAATTATATCGAGTTAAAAACTTGTTTAAGAAAGCTTTTGTTAAAATACTTTGTTTTTAAGCTGCTTAAACGTATTTAGAGGCATTTTGCAAAATCTTTTAAGTGAAGAAACCTCATGCAGCGAGAAAAGATAAAAATGATTATACCTAAGCATAGCTGAAGACACACTAATTCCTCTACTCTTTTATCAAAGTGATTGTTGACCAGTTACAAATTTGACTTTGACTTTATCTTTGACTTCATCAAATCAATAAGATCTTTGTCGAGTGTTTCAATAAGATCTTCATCACTTTCATACAATAATTAATATTCTTAAGTAATTTATATTTTTATTTATAATTTTTTAATGTATATTTGAGAAATTAATCAATTATAATCTATTATTTGAAAAACTAATCAATTCTAATCAATTATTTAGAAAACTAATCGATTATAATTAATTATTTGAAAAAATTATCCAATATGATCGGTTATTTGAAAATTTAATCGATCATAATGATTGTATATGATAAGCGGTTCCACTGGAACAGCTCTTAAAACAGAACATCTAATAGCGGTTAAACCTTAACCGCTATCTAAAATATAGTTTAGATAGCGGTTAACGTGGGACCGCTATTATATAGTTTCAAATATAAATTTAAATATATTTTTAATTTATTTAAATATGCTTTATTTTTAGTATTTATAAAATATATTAGTTTTAAATTTTTAACTTATCTAGCGAGTCTATTTTTAATCTTTGTTATTAATTATGTTAAAAATGAAAAAATATTAATTAGTATACTTAAACTAATGTATATTGATTATCTAATGTATATTGATATAATTTTTTTGTATATCAATTATATGAAAATAACCATGGTTAAGTAATTAATAATAATAAAGCAATAAATTTAAAGATTAGATTAAAAATAAAGTTTTATAAAATAAAATTGTAATTATTTGATTAAAATTTTATTTTCTTAATTAATTAAGTTAATGAGGAATTAAAATGTGATCATTTGATGTGTTTAATTTTTTTAATATACATTTTTAAAATATAATTTAATTTCAATTGAAATTTTCATTTGAAAAATAAATTAAAGAATATTTATTATTAAACTTTTCTTAAACAATGTATTGAATAGTTAATATTACTCTAGTCTTAATTTATTACAATTTAAATTTTTAATAAATTTGATTTATTTTTAATAATATTTTTATTTTAGTAATTTAAAATTAAAGTTAATCTTCATTTTGTTAATATTGAGACCAAAATTTATTTTTAAAGTATCTTTTAAAAATTAAATTATTTTTAGAAAATAAATTACTTTTAAAAAATAAATTGTCAAAAATATACTAAAACAATTAAAGTATATTTATAAAAAAATAAATTTAAATATCATAAAAAAATAATGTTCATTAGCGACCGATTTAAATTGGTCGCTATTTTCTCATTAGCGATCGATTATAATTCGGTCACTATTTCAATTTGTAATTCGGTCGTTAAATCGATCGCTAAATGATTTTTTTATTTTAGTGTGGAATAGCCACTAGATTTAGTGATCAGAAATTTTGCGACGCAAACTATTGGTCGCTATTTCGGTCGCTAAATAACAAAATGAAAACCAATTCATATTTTGGTCGCTAAATCGGTCGCTAATTGCGACCGAATTAAAATGGTCGCTAAATCGGTCGCTAATTGCGACCGAATTAAATGGTCGTGAATCAGTCGCTAATTGCGACCGAATTAAAGTGGTCGCTAAATCAGTTGCTAATTGCGACCAAAATTAAATTGGTCGCTAATTGCGACCAGAAAAATTCGGTCGCTAATTTCGGTGGCTAAATGTGATTTTTCTTGTAGTGTACATTAATAAAAGCTAAAAATGAAAACTAGATTAAAAATGGAAAATGGAGCTAAAAACTCACTATTTTTTCTTTAAAATTGATTAAAATAAATTATGGTGTATCAACAACTTTTTTCCTGGTTTGTGGATTTTGCTAATAGTCTTTATTAAAAATAATTTTGTGTGGTTCTGATAAGAAGTGTTCATTAAATGTTTATTAATAGCAGAATAAGACTGATATATTAATATTATTTTGTATTTATTTTAATAAGTTGTTACATTTGTATTTGGTCTTTAATTTTTTTTCTTTTTTGTTTTTTATATTTTAGTCAGTCATAATTTTTTTTAGTAGTTTATTGGTGTCTTTTTAAATAATGAGTTATCTCTAAATGTGATTATCATTATTTGTTTGGTTAGGTTTTCATCCTTGTTTCTTTTGATTTTCTTTATTCAACTATGAAGTTCAAAGAGAATGAAGATAAAATAGACAATGTCAAATAAAAGAGTTAAAAAACACAAGAAAAACTCTCATATAAACTATATACTAATGAATGTTCCTAACTTCAACAAGTGAAAGATATTATAATATTTGTTTTCCTAAATACTAAATGATCAAACAAACAGTCTAACTTTTTACATGCAATTTGAATGTTCATGTTAATTAATCTCATATGCATCAAATAGAACTTGTCCTTTTTAAAGGGATCTTCATGTGAGGTAGGGTACTCTTCTTCAATGACTTTGAGCAAAATTAATATAAAATTACTTTTTACTCCTCCAGAGTTTTTAATCATTTCTCAAATAATTGTCATTTTGTAGTACAAAACTATCTACTTTAATAATTGAAATTCTCACATATCGGTATAGATTATTTGTTGTTCTTAAGTATAAAAATTCATATGAATATGAAGTCTCATTTAGTCTCAATGATTTAACATATATTACTTAAATCTTAAGTCTTAAATTTATCTTAATGAAACATTGAACTTAATCTTATTTAATATTGTGAAAATACTTGATGCATGGTCATTCAATATGCTTAAACAGCTTGATATTGGATTATTCAAGTCTAACCAGTCCTACTTAATCATTAATGTCACTTCACAAAAATATCATCACTTACCAAATGTCAATAAATAATAGTGACGAAAACATAAATAAAATGTTTATTAAGGACCAAGGAAATTTTTTTATCAAAAGTTATATATAAAATTCGCGCATGTATAAGCAACTTATTTAAACCATATATTTTTTTTAATGTATCTCTCTAAGTTCAATTTTTTTTAATTTGGTCGCACAAATTTTTGACATTGGCAGTATAAATTTTGACGAATATCTCATTCAATATCATCAAATTGACTAAATTTGGTATTAATACTAATAATGTCTGAATTAATTTGTAGTTTTTTTTTTGTGAAAAAGTGTTTTTAAATAATAAACACACATTTCATTTTTATATGCTTTTATTAAAAAAATAAACATTTTTATGTTGTATTTTAAAAAGCAAATCCTTTTTACTTCTTAAATTAAATATTATTTTAACATTTTTTTTTCAAAAATTCTTATTTTAAGTTTAACTAAATTGTCTCAATACAGTGCATAAATGGGGGAAAAAAATACGACAAAGCAACACTATCAGAATATATATAAATCATTTTATCAAAGTTTTATAAAAATTAGAAGCACGCGGCACGTGTTAAAAAAATGGAATGTAAATATCAATCGAGGTACCTCGTTATTTTGCCAATTACCCACACAATTTGCAATTTTTCACAAAGCTTAAGTTTGCAGCAAAAGTGTGTATTAAAATACAAAGCACATTAATCACCATGATGCACGACTTTTAACAAAAAACACTTTTGAATTTAATTAATTTGCACACAACACAAACCAATACCAGCTTTTTTTGTGATATATACATCTCAAGGAACGATAAAAAATGTGAAGCTTGCCGTTTGAATGTATCACTTACGAACCATAAATTGCAAGGAATATTCATCATGGCACTGCCTCCTCCTTACACTCCATTCTAGAAAACTTCACGTATGGACTTGTAGCATGCTGCAATAACAAGAAAACCTCTTCAAATTATTTTAATTTTCAGAGTGATTAATGCCTTTGTTAGAATATTTAAATGGTATAGAATGGAACAATTTTTCATATCTTCAATTAAAAGGATCGGAAACAAAGAATCTCTAATGCAAAAAAACAAATAACATCCAGGAATGAACAATCATAAATGGTAATAATGATAAAAAAAGATAAGGAGAATTTCAGTCAAACTGTGATGTGTAACAAGAGAACGAAGTAGCAGGTTCACCTCCCCATTTGCCGCCAAGATCCAAGAAGCATCCCAATGGGTTGTTATAGTTAGAAAGGTCTGTTCGAGAGTGTGGGAGTTAAGAGGAGAGGGATTTCTAAATACCATTTTATATTGAATAATGGGATCACTTTTACTTAGTAAATGAAATAATTGGTTTAATTTTCCTAGGCAGAACAGAAATAATAGATTTTTCTATTTGATTCTCTTCTCCCTGGTTTCTCTCACTTCACTTAATTCTCAGTCTGATCTTTAAGGACCTATCAAATACCAGTAGGATTGATCAGCATTGATCAGCATCCACTTTCATTCCTAATCCGAGAAGAGAAGTCTATTCATATGGCAATTCCATTAACACCTACTGGATTTTCTGACATATCAATAAGAAACATCCTAACAGTCCATTGTTGAACAATGACCAAATCATCACCCTTGTCCACAGTTCTAACCGCTGGAAGTCTGGAACCAAACAAACCACTGTCTCAGCCACCTTCTCCACCCACAATATCTGACTAAATTAAAAGTAATATTTAACGTGTTGATAACTCTCCTCTCTTTGCACCTTGATCAGGTCAGGAATTCCATCCATCCTCCATTCAGCACTTTCCGAGCTTCCCTCCAAGCATGTGAGGCTCCCTGGTATTGGGAACTGCGATACCAGATGATCATAAAATACAACTACAGAAGGAAATCTCCTCTGCAATGTCAACATACGGAATTCCAGAATGGAAGAAATGAAGAAATAAAAAAATAAAAATCAGAACTGATACAAATATAATTATATAAAGACTGTTCTCCTTGTGCTCCCTGTCCCAGACCACCAATTCACTCCAAAATGATCTTGTGCCTGAAAGCAACCAGGGGGAGATTGATGGAAATGTTCCTACGTTCCCAAGAGATGATTTTGATGATGATTCAAGTCAACTACATTCAAGTCAACACCATTCAAAATAAATTTAAGGATAAGCTGAAATTATGACATAGGTGACAATGTGAAACATTTCTCTATATGCCCAATATATGTTTTTGATAAAGATGATGATTCAAGCAAGCCTAAGATGATTCCTGAAGACTAGATAGAGTCTTAGAATACTGGATATGGAGGTACAAGTTGATGAAGTAATATTATGCATAAGCCTCCAAAGCACAAGTGTGATAAAACTCATAACATAATATTTTTATCTGTCATCATCAATTATGATACATCAGAAATGGAAAAATGATTTTCTTTATCATAATTAATTATACTGGTAATATAATCAATTATGACAATTCAAATTTGAAAAATATATCCGTTTTAAAGAATAAATGTTTTTGAATACATCCTGATTTTCTCTATGATATTATTAATGTCCAACGACCATTTTCTGATGTTATTTTTCTATTTAATTAAGTTTTGATGAAAAATAAAAAACACACCATTACAGAATTCGAAAATACAATTTACATTCAATCAGTTTTGAGAAAAGAATTTTGAGTAAGGCAACAGAAATATTTTACACCTTTTGAGAAAACCCTCTTCTCTACTGCCTTCTGTGCTTTCATTGTTAATCACACTTGTTCTTGGAGATTAACATTCTATAGGCTTCTACAATTTGTTGTCTCCATTACCCAGGTGTGTCTGTTCTTATTTTTATTACCTTCATCCTTTTTACATTGGTGGAAAATGAGGTGTTTTTCATCCCTAGTGTGATTCTAGGGAGGGATTCATCCTTAGTGGGATTCTAAGGAGGTGTTTTTCATCCTTTGATTTGTTCAGAAGAGGTGTTCATCCCTAGTGGGATTCTAGGGAGGTGTTCATCCTTAGTGGGTTTCTAAGGAGGTGATTGTCTTTTTAATTAGTTTACTTTTTACAGGTTCTTCTGCTGAGTTGATTGTAATTTGTAAACTGAATTTGAAAGATAGTGAATACTCTTGTGTTAAAAGTTGACTGGGAACTGGATGTTGGCTATACCCGAACCAGTATAAATCTCTGTATGCTCTTCTCTTTCCCTTATCTCTTTCTCTTTTCCTGATTATATTATTGCTTCCGCTTTAACAAATTATTGACTCACAAATAAATTTTTAATTTGACATCTATTTTAATTTGTGCATCTATTCACCCTCCTCTAGATGCTATTTGTCTAACAAATGGTATCAGAGCTTGGTTAGATAAGATATTTCTAAACGATCTGTCAAGATGTCTATGCAGAATCAGGTTTATAGGGAAGGAGCCTCAATAAACAAACCACCATTATTTGAAGGAGAAGACTATCAATTTTGGAAGGCGAGAATGGAAATATTTTTATAAACACTAGATGATGGTGTTTGGGATGTTGTACTCAATGGTCCCTACATTCCGATAAGAATAACGAAGTCTGGAGCTGTTCCAAAGACTTTTGATCAATGGACGCCAGATGAAAATAAGCGTGCCCATTATGATGTAATAGCCCGAAATGTTATTGTTTCTGTCATAACTCGTAATGAATTTTTCAGGGTCTCACAATGCAAGACGGCAAAAGAAATATGAGACGCTCTTGAAGTAACACATGAAGGAACAAATGAAGTAAAACGAGCACGTAAAAACACACTCATCCAGGAGTATGAATTATTTCAAATGGAGCAAAATGAAAGCATCACGAATTTCCAAACACGCTTCACACATATAGTAAATCACTTGAAAGCATTAGGAAAGAGTTTTGACAATGAGGAGTTGAACACAAAGATCTTGAAATCCTTAAACAGGAATTGGCAACCAAAGGTCACTACTATTACAGAATCAAATGATCTCACAAAAATGAATATTGCTACTCTATTTGGAAAGCTGAAAGAACATGAGATGGAGCTACAAAGGTTAAAGAACGGTGAACAGAATCAAACCAAGACGATAGCTCTAAAAGTAGAAAAATCTTCACAAGACGAAAGCGAAAATGAAGGTAAGTTTTTGGATTCCGATATATCTCTTTTTGTTAGACAATTTTCTCGCTTTATGAAGAACAGGAAAAAGAGACAGCAAAGAAAGGAGAAAAAAAAATTTCATTGCTATGAATGTGGAAAACCTGGTCATATCAAACCAGACTGTCCGAAACTTAAGAAAGAGAAGAAAAATATGAAAGAGAAGAAGAAAGAGAAGAACGATACCTATAAGAGCAAACGCAAAACTTATATTGTTTGGGAGGATAATGATTATTCTACAACACAAGATAGTTCTTCCGAAAGCATTGATGGAGAAGAAGAAGCAAATTTTTGCTTGATGACAAAAAATGATGATGAAGCCTCATCACAGGTAAGTAGTACAAATTCCTTAAATGAATATGATGAGTTATTTAAAGAATATCAAGATATGTATGAAGGTTTTACCAAGTTATCTAAGAAATACAATGCACTTAGGCAAAAGTTTAATGCATTAGAAAATACTATTGGTATTCTTGAAAAAGAAAATGAGTGCTTAAAGAAAGATGTTGAGAAATCTAAAACTTTGTCTAAAAATAAAGAAGTTGTTAAACTTTGTGAAAATTGTAATCTTTTGGAAAATAAGATTTTCAAGTTAGAGAAAATAATAAGCAATTTTTCAAAATCTTCTGAAAATCTTGATTCGATATTAGGTTATCAAAGAGGAAATTCTAGCAAAGTTGGACTTGGTTACAAACCCAAAAAAAGTCTGAACCTCATAAAACTATTTTTGTGAAAGAGTCAAAGAAAACAGATGTGAAACCAGTTTCAAAAACTTTAAGAAACGCATTTAGACATTTTCAAAGAAAACCAACATGTTTTTATTACATGAAATTAGGTCATACATCAAATAGATGTTACATAAAACATTTTGGTATATCTAATGGCAAATATGAATGGGTGTCTAAAGGAACAAAACATTTATACATGTCTAGATGATAATTTGAGCATCTAATTAATTATCAGAATCAAAAAAAATTTCTTGTTGTCATAATCAATTATGTTGACTAACTTTGAAATTTGAAAGTTTGAATTTTGACAATTTGAATTTATGAAAATTTGAAATTATAAAGTTTGAAATCTTCTAATTTGAAATTCTTGAAATTTGAAATTTTGCAGTTTGAGATTTTTTTAAAAATTTGCAGTATGAGATGTTTGAAATTTGAAATTTTGCAATTTGAGATTTTTGAAATTTTGAAATTTTGCAGTTTGAGATTTTTTTGCAATATGAAATTTTTGAAATTTGAAATTTTGCAATTTGAGATTTTTAAAATTTGAAATTTTGTAGTTTGTGATTTTGAAATTTGAAATTTTTGCGAGTTTGAGATTTTTGAAATTGAATTTGAATTTGAATTGGAATTTGAATTTTGAATTTGAAATTTGGGATTAGAAATTTGAATTGGTTGGAATTTGAATTTGAAATTTCTTGCAATTTGAATTTGAAATTTGAAATCTAGAATATGAGTGCATTTGAATTTGAAAGCTGCCTAAATAAGAAGACTGCAATGGAGGGAAACTACTGCATTTAATTTCATTATCTCTATAATCATTTTATTCCTCTATCTTTCTCTCTCTTTATTTGTCTTGGGTATCCTAGATATTGTTTCCTTAATATGATATTCTTCTCTATGACACTTTTTAATGCATTATCTTCTCTACCTTGATTTATATACTAATAGGTACAAATTTGTTCTCAGTTTCTATTGCAATATTTTTCATAATTATCAAAGAAACGGGAAGATATTAATCTGTGTGAAACGAGGGGAGATTTTTTCTCTTATAATATTTTTCATAATTATCAATGAAACATGGAAATATTTTGATGATATTAATGCATGTCGAAATAGGGGAGATTTTTTTTCTTATAATATTTTTTTAAATATCAATGAAACGAGAGAGATATTTTGATGATATTAATCTGTGTAAAACAGGGAAGATCTTTTCTTATAATTTTTTTTATGATTATCAATGAAACAGGGAGAGATTTTTTGATGAATTAAAATTTGTGTGAAATTCTTTCCTATCTAAATTAAACAAGGGGAGTTAAGAGAAGTATTTGCTCATATGAGTTAGGGATAGTCTTGTTATTAATATATCCAGACAGATATTAAGAGATTCTGACACTTGATACAAATTTGTGCTAATCTTGAGCTGGCTATATAGAGTCAAGCATTTTAATTCATGTCAGGTGTTTCCTTGATCATCATCAAAAAGGGGGAGATTGAAAGCAATGAGGGGGAGATTGATGGAAATGTTCCTGCATTCCCAAGAGATGATTTTGATGATGATTCAAGTCAACTACATTCAAGTCAGCATCATTCAAAATGAATTTAAAGACAAGCTGAATTTATGACATAAGTGACAATGTGAAACATTTTCCTACATGCCTAATATATATTTTTGATAAAGATGATGATTCAAGCAAGCCCAAGATGATTTTTGAAGACTAGATAGAGTCTTAGAATACTGGATATGGAGGTACAAGTTGATGAAATAATATTATGCATAAGCCTCCAAAGCACAAATGTGATAAAACTCATAACATGATATTTTTCTCGTCATAATCAATTATGATGCATCAGAAATGGAAAAATGATTTTCTCTATCATAATTAATTATACTGGTAATATAATCAATTATGACAATTCAAATTTGAAAAATATATCTGTTTTAAAGAATAAATGTTTTTTAATACATCCTGATTTTCTCTATGATATTATTAATGTCCAACGACCATTTTCTGATGTTATTTTTCTATTTAATTAAGTTTTGATGAAAAAT